TTTGGCTCCAGAATGAATACCAGAAGGAAGTGGAATTGTACTTCCTTATGGTCTCCAAGCCGGATTAAGATTCCCATGTTCAGGGTGGCCTTGGACGTCTGGTGTATTAACTACAAGGCCTCTGTGCTTCACTGACCTTGACTATCAGGCATGTCTGTGTCCATGGGTCATGCATATGTGCATATAAGTTCTTTGCATATAAGATCTCTTTTTTAATATATATTTTTTATTGATTTCAGAGAGGAAGGGAGAGGGAGAGAGAGATAAGAACATCAATGATGAGAGGGAATCATTGATCAGGTGCCTCCAGCACGCCCCACACACTGGGGATCAAGCCTGCAACCTGGGCATGTGCCCTCATCGGGAATCGAACCGTGGCCTCCTGGTTGGTGGACACTCCACCACTGAGCTCTTTGGTTAATCTCTTCCCGCCTCCCACCCCTTCCCCCTGAGATTGGTGGGTCTGGTACATGCTTCAATGGCTCTGGATTTATTTTGTTCATTAGATTCCACACATAAGTGAGATCATGTGATACTGTCTTTCTCGGGCTTATTTTACTAAGTATAATACTCTCCAGGTCCCTGCACGCTGTCTCAAAGGGTAAGAGATCCTTCTTTTTTTACTGCTGCATAGTATTCCATGGTGTAGATGTACCACAGCTTTTTTTTATCCACTCATCTGCTGATGGGCACTGGGGCTGTTTCCAGATCTTAGCGACTGTAAATTGTGCTGCTATGAACATACCAGTGGTGGTGCATACATTCTTTCTGGTTGGTGTTTTTGGTTTCTTGGGATATACTCCTAGAAGTGGGATCACTGGGTCAAATGGCAGTTCCATTTTCAGTTTTTTGGGGAAACTCCATACTGTCTTCCACAGTGGCCGCACCAGTCTGCATTCCCACCAGCAGTGCACGAGGGTTCCCTTTTCTCCACATCCTCTCCAGCACTTGTCGTTTGTTGGTTTGTTGATGGTGGCCATTCTGACCGTGTGAGATGGTACCTCTCTGTCATTTTCGAGTGCATCTCTGTGATGATTCGTGCCCTTGAGCATTCTTCCATGTCTCTTGGCCATTTCCCGTCCTCTTTGGGGAAATGTCTATTTCAGCCTTTTGCCCATTTTTTAACTGGGGCTGTGTGTCGTCTTTTCGTTAAGTTGTATCAGTTCTCTACATGGTTTGGAGATGAACCCCTTATCAGATGTGTCATTGGCAAATATGTGGAACATGACCTGTGGCTTCCCTCCCTACATGCTTCTCCTTTCAGCCTCTGGTCCCATTCTGAGCATTTCCCAATGACCTCCCCGAGGGAGAGAGTGTGACTGGCCGCTCATCTTTCCCGTGGGCCCACAGGTGACGCCTGCCGGCCGTCTGTGCACGGCCAGGCCCCAGGCTCCACCGCACTCCCCGCTGATTGCCGCGGGCAGCCCCGCTGGGTCAAGGGCCCGGAGGTTTCAGCTGGAAGGCGGGCGGGTGTCATCACTGACACTTCCTGTCGGAGAGGCAGTGTGTCCACTGCTTCCTCACCTGGTGGCCTGGGCCAGGCACTTCCCCTCCCTGAGCCTCCCCTGGGACATGGCAGTAATGATGGTGTCTGCCTCACGGGCCCTGTAGAGCAACCCCTGCAGGGCCTGGATCTCAGGTGGTCGGTTCCTTCTCCCCTGCCCCTCGCTGGCATGGAGCTGTGAGTCCTGAGCCCCGAGGTGCTGCCACCAGAGGCGAGAGGGGCCACTGGGCGGGGGCTGGGGGTGCCCGGAAGGCCTCCCGCGGAGGGGTGACCCGAATAAGTCTTCACGGACTTTGAACAGAGCACGAAGCTGGTGCTCTGGGGAAAGGCAACCGAGGTCGGCAAAGGCGTGGAGGTGGGAACCGAACGGCCCACGGGCAGGGACCCGAGCGGACTGGCCTGCTGGTCTCCCCACCTGACCCTCTGACTTTGACCCTGTGACCTGTGAAGTACGACCGGGGCACTCTGCATTCACAGATGGCTGCGCTACATGGAAAAGTCTAGAACTGTGGTTCTCAACCTTCTGGCCCTTTAAATATAGTTCCTCCTGTGGTGACCCAACCATACAATTATTTTCGTTGCTACTTCATCACTGTCATGTTGCTACTGTGATGAATCATCATGTAAATATCTGATATGCTGGATGGTCTTAGGCGTCCCCTGTGAAAGGGTCGTTCGACCGCCAACAGGGGCACGACCCACAGGTTGAGAACCGCTGATCTAGAAGCTACATCCTGGCCGGGTAGCTCAGTTGGTTAGAGCCTCGTCCAGATACACCAAGGTTGTGGGTTGGACCTCCAGGCAGGGCACGTGCAAGAAGCAGCCAATGAATGCATAAGTAAGTAGAACAAATCAACGTTTCTCTCTCTCAAATAAATAAATAGATTTTTATTTTATTTTTTAAAATATATTTTTATTGATTTCAGAGAGGAAGGGAGAAGGAGATAGAGATAGAAACATCAATGATGAGAGAGAATCGTTGATCGCCTGCCTCCTGCACATCTACTGGGGATGGAGCCCTCAACTGGGGCATGTGCCTTTGACCAGAATCGAACCTGGGACCCTTCAGTCCGCAGGCCGGTGCTCTATCCACTGAGCCAGACCAGCCAGGGCTGAATAAATACATTTTTAAGAAGCAGCTCAGAGGCTACGTTTTCAGATGTGCAGCCAGGGGAGGCCCAGTGAGCGAGGCTTCTAGGGTCCCCAGTCTAGAAGCTACATGTGTGCACAAGTGCTGGTGACGTCGCCTACCTGTCCAGGGGCCCCAGCCCCTTATATTTCCAACCACACGCCCCCCACACTCCAGCACGCTGACCTCATCACCTGGCTGTCCCCTTCGTGGCCGGAGTGTCTTAACTGTGCCAACCGGCCCCCTCCCTCCTCCACCCCCAACCCCCCAGTTCCAGGCGCCACCGCGCAATAACGCCCGCCTCCGGGTGCCCCTGCGCACTGTCAGCCAGAGAGGAGGTTCAGACTGAAATAACAGAAAGCTCTTATTTGAGCAAAAGGATTGCAGTCAGGCAGCCACTTGGTGGCTCTGGAGAGAACAGAGAAGGGCAGGTTCATATCTGAGGGCAAAAGCCACGCAGCGTCATTCTCTGCCGCAGGGGAGGCGGGCGGGCTGGGCTCACCGCGCTTGGAAGGGAGGAAGCCAAGTCCCTGTGCCCGGTAGTCCGGCAGCAGCTGTTGGCCGGGACGGTTATGGCTCCGGGCTCAGGCTCAGCCTCGGACTGCGTTTAGCAACAGGTTTAGCAACTTAATAGAAGCTCTGCGGACCGAGGCAGATGCGCCCCCGCCCCGCTCCCTAATAGCCTCAGAGCTCATGTCAGTGGCTCCCTGAGCAACGCCTGTTCCATTTCACTGTTTCCATGATCAGCTTGTGGGCAAGGCCGTCAGCCCCTTACCAGGCCGAGCACCCCCCCAGGCCCTGACTCCTGACCCACCTCGAGAACCCAGAAAGTGTTCTGTCTTCTGTCACCTCAGGGTA